TCGGCCTTCGAAAAAGGGAGACATTGATAGCCTTGTCAGCGAGTGGTTGTTATTGGCAGTTACTGTCCTCGAAATTCTTCCAAGCGCCTCTACTTTTCACTGAGAGCGAATATGGAGGAGTTTTTCACTTCTTGGCACTGAGAACTTAATTTACCTTTTTTACCTCTTTTTTGAGTTCTCTTTTCTGAAAGCTGTCAATCCTCTTCCCTAGTCCAGCACTGACAAATCGTTCAAAAAGAGGCACATAAAAAAAAAATTAGCTGCACGATGTGTGTGTGTTTTTTTCGAATCTTCAGTTATTTTGATACTGATCATAGAGAAGGGATTATCCGGAGATGATTGTATTCAGGATGGATATTCGTCAAGCCTCTCGTAGATGATATTTGGTGGTGATTGCTGTTGTTGTTGTTGTTGTTCGAGAGTCTGAATGGGCGGTAGAAGTTGTTGATGATTTGTCGTCCATTGAGGGACCGGGACATTTACCTCCTCATTTGACCGGTAGTTTATCACTGCTGGAGATGGATGAATCGTTAACAGTGATCCGGGGGAGCAATTCGGGATTGGAATAGGCTTCTGATCGACCGGTGCTGCCCAGCAAATATTGCATGGCGAGCTGTAGTCTTCTGGTAGATGAAACATTGTTGGTGGATTAACTAGAAGCTGAAATAAATCAATTTTTTATGAACAATGAAGGTTTTTAAACGAGCTAATTTGCCATTATGTTAGTATTTTTTGTACTTTTTATGGTTTCTTTTATTTTTTCCTTCTTTTTTGTTATCATTTTGCTCTAACTCCTTACTTATTGGAATCAGATTGAAGACAGACAGTGTTGTTTGGAAGAAGTTGACAGTTACGTCATCTGCTTTGTCTAGGAAGTTAACGTGTGCTACAATTTCCAAGCGGTGGTTGTGTCTGTGCTCAGACTGTTTCCTTTTTGCCACTAAAGTGTAATCGGACAGTATTGACCTGGAAGAAGCTAAAGCTATGCTTATCCTTGGCCAAGAAGTAAATATACGCTAAAATTTCCTGGTGCACGAAGAAGCTTTATCGGTTGGCGCAAATTTTACAGCATCATCGATATCCTCAAAGTGTCGGACTGGAACGGCCGTGCTCAACCGTTGAGTAACAATGTGGTAGTGTTATTTTGAGTGGTTGGTCTCAAGTTTAAACTGCGCATTTCATGCTTATCCGGACGATCTAGCATCACTAGAGCAAATTTTTTAACAATATGCTGATATCTAATGCCTTATTTGCCGACTATGATTTTTTCCTTCACTCTTCCATCTTCCTTAGTTCTTTTTGATTTTGAGCATACTGATAACAGCTCTATGTTTGATGGAATGGAAATGCAGCGATACCTGTTGTTGCGCTTGGCGCTGCATGTACTGTAGAAACCAAGGCTGTAGATTCAGAGCTCTTTCATCTGC